ATGCATTCAGCTTGTGCAATGAAAGCGCACACCCCGCGCGAGAGACACGCGGAAGGCCGCATGCGTGCGTACGTCGTGTTTCCACGGATTTATTTTTCAGAGATGATTTAAGAAGGGATAAACGTCTCGTTCTCTTGTGGCAAAGCGGCTGTATGACAGCACAGAAATTTTTTATCAAAGATATTTGAACCATTAATCTTAATATTTAGAATATATATCGGATTTGAATTTATTAAATTATTTAGATTGCTATACTAAATCTTAGTGATAAATTTAATGACAAATTTGTTTATTTGTTAATATTTATTCTTTATTACGTAGCGGAAAAAGTAAATCAATGCGTAAATTTTATCAGATGAATCATAACGTTACAATTGTGATATTCACGCCACTAATTAACGCAGTGAGGTGTATTTAGAGGTGTACGTCTGGAGAAACCGGAAACAATTGAATGAGAAAATGCGCGATTCAGTAATTTAGTGATCTTCTAATTTGACGCGGATATGTAAAGTAGTACAGCGTAGTTGAATCGAATCGAATCGCCGGCTCGACGCTGTCCCAGTAAAATGTTAGCCAGATGAGGACCTATCACGTTTCTGCCTAGACAGAAAAGCGTCTGCATTATTCATCAGTCCCGAGCGAAGCGGAGAAGTAAAATTTGCATTATTGATCACGGCCGAAAAGCTATTACATCTTCGTAGGACGCAGCCTCCGAACGACAATGATCCCACACAGACAGGCCTAGGTGTTGCGCACCCCTTAAATTACGTTATTCAGCTTAAAATCGCCGTTACTTTCACCTGACGACCCGTGATTCCCTCTTAAACCGAGTTAGCGGATTTAAATGACTAAGCGCGCAGCATCTCGCTCGCAAATGAAAAGGACGCGCGTCCCTTTCATTTATCGCTTGTCAAGTGACATCGTGCACATTAATTCATTCACTTTGGCGGCACGAATCTCCCGAGAACAATTATCCCACGCTTGTTATTTGCGTCACGAAATCGGCGCGTCTTATTGCGTTACCGCAAAATACGCCAACCGCGACCGACGTTCTCCGATTAGAATTTAACGGCAGCAAATATAGTTATTATCTTAAAATATCTCGAATAAGAGTGGAGACTTAAAATGTTCCGTGCTTCCATTATTTTTAGCGCATTATTCAGAAATACTTTCGACGCACTCTAACGAAATTGATCGAAAACACGTACAGCTGCGCAGTTGCTTATTAATTCATTGACCGCGTTTGGAATCTACAATGAGTCTTTGTACCGAGGATTTAATTCCATACTAGCGATGCAGAGGGGATTGCAGGAGTGCGCGATGAATGCTCTTACGCGCAGACCTTGCGTTTTCAACGACTCGACCGCGCGCGCCGCAGAATTGGTATGCTGGCAGGTATACTTAGTGAGCGCACTGCTATAATGCAGTTGCAACATTTTAACCGGACACGAAAAAAGACAACGGCATGTGCAACACCCTCGCGTGAGCATTCACCGCTCGTACTCGATTCACGAGCGCGAGAGCCGATACGATTTTGCTATTTGGACCACGGCCGAGATTGTTTTTCTTAATGAGACATAATCGCGAAAACAACCTCTATTTATTATCGTGATGCGCATTGTAGTATCATATCTGACGGCTTTATCTCACCGTGAAATGCACGTCGCGCCCTCGAATTTTCAAGGTGAAACACACTCGGCAAGGTCCGATCGCGTGATCAATTAATTTTTATTAGCGTGAAATCGTACGAGGCTCTCTCGTAATCCTTATATACAAGATGTAACAAAGTTAATTAGTATGAACTACAAATCCGCGAATAAACAAGTAATTAAATTTTCTTCGGTGAAACTTCGGAGATGCGGTAATTTTCATAACATTAACGTCCGGCAAATTTCTTCGAAATATCTCGCCAATTAAAGTTGAAATTTGAACATTTCTGATCTCGAGATACGCACAGCGTTTCCAGATTATATTGTTTTCTAATTTTCTCGCAGTATTTCGTCGGCCTTCCTTGACTTCCTTGACTTCCTTACTCAGATATCCGTTGCTCTCGTGAGTTTTACTTTTCTGCAACCTGAATATACGATGAGGGTACGACCTTATAACATCGCAAGGTGTACATCGAGTGCACCTGTCGCACGATCCAACATATAGAAAAATCCCTTTCCCCTGCCCTCATACCTCTCTTTCTCTCTCTCACTCTCTCTCTCTCTTCCGTCTGTATAGCACTCGGTCTCGTTCGCTCACCGCATTTGGGCAGAACATTTTCCGAGGATTACACGACGATGCGTCCAGCGCGCGCGCGCGCGCGTCTTTGAATCGCGGTAGTGTGTCATTCTAAAAATAGAGAGAGGTTGAAACGAGAGGGAAGCCAAGACGTGAGAGAACGAGAGGTGGCAGGACGAGAAGGGAGGAGAGTAAAGACACGGAGAGGAAGGGGAGAGAATGAGGCAGAGAGAAAGAGAAGGAAAGAGTACCTCCACATAGTCTCGGTCGTGAACCCCAGAAACGACCTCGGTGATACGTAAAGAGGAACGGGAGAGGGAGAGGAAGAAGGACAGAGAGAGAGAGAGAGAGAGAGAGAGAGAAAGAAAGAGAAAAAGATCGGGTTAGACGAACAGAGAGAATTAAAAGAAAGAGGAAAAGAGATAGAATCGCGGAGAGCAACACGGATAGAGAAAGAGAGAGAGAGAGAGATTAAATTAAGCAGCGCGAAAGACTCGAAGACGGCATAACGCGAACTAAGAAACTAGCGAACGAACAAACAGATAGCGGTAAAATTTCGCGCTCGATTTCGAATATTGCGTCGTAAAGGTGAGACGAAACTAATACGTGCGCGCGGTGAAGCTCACGCAAGCTCGCCACGCAGCTTTCTAATTTTGAATTCGGCCGCGTTGGTTCACGACGGATTCGAGCCGCTTACACTGTCCCTCTGTTTATAAACTCTTACGGCTGGGGACGCAGCGCTGGAATTTGTCAAATTATCAGATGGAACGCGGACACCGCTAACCTCCCAGGCGGTCGAGAAAGAAAATTGATGGTATCGTGCTCTTTCGGGGACACAAGGTGCTAATAATTTCCTTGAATTAATACTCGCACAGGTAATTCTTTAATCAAAAGCAAAATGAGTGAAGTTAAAGAAAGAATAGTGGACTAAAAAAAGAATCATCTGGAATCTAGTGCTCGTTTAATTCCAAAATTTTATCAAAATTCTCATCATTATTTGATCAAGATATTCAATGCTGAATGCAAAAGCAATTACAGATAACACTTTTCTCGAAATTTTGCCTTAGAATGTTTTTCAAGAATTATGGATTTCATATTTTGGAAGTGCATTCCGTTGTATAAGCATAAATCCGCAACGTACGGAATAGCTAATAATAGGAAGTTGGCTTGCCGGCCAACAACGCCGGTCTGCAGTCGCGACTGAGCTCTATAGAGGCGTAACTTCCGTTAATATCGCGGCGGACTTGATGCTCTTGGTACATCTCGGTGCTTGCACATCCGCGTATGAGAATATTAAGACGGCGCGCATTCCATCGCGATGGTTTCCGTGATTTCGTAAGCGAGGCCAGGAATCGAAAGCGCCACGAAACGCGTACTAAATGTAGTAACGGAGCCCCGAGACTGTTCTAGAATACTATAATTTTCAAGAGATAAGTATAAAAGCGGAAAATCGCTGTCGTGCGTCCAACATTTTCCGCTATGCGACTTTTAAAAAAACAAATTTAATCTGGGCGATTAGTCACATGTATAAATTTATACAAACGCAATATTTATTATTTTATTTATTTTGTAATTTTTAACGCAGATTCTTATCTCACGTGTGTAACGAATAGAAATATTATTATTTCAGCTATAAAAAGATTCAAATTTTTTAATAAACACATATAAATATGTGAATGGAAAAGTGCAAATTTATGCTGTTGTTTTATTTCTACAACTTAATACGATACTGATTGATACGAGATTGATCTCGCGTCTGGAGAATTAATTGCGTTAAGATATGACAGTAACAAATTTCGCCGAGCATTATTTGACCGGCAGACATTGCCTAACAAGCACACTATATATTTCTTCGGCCGTGATCTTGCACGACCACTTGCGCGGACTTTATTTTGCATAACCATAAACCAGCGGCTACTTCATCGAGTGGCAGATGGTTCGTTCGCCATGCGCGTTCCTGAAGAGCTTTCTTCGCACGCCGATACGATCCACAAAGAAAGTCAAGTGCGCGGGTCGAGGAGATCGAATGCATGTAAATATCATATTGAATAAAAAAAAAGGGAAAGATGGATTATATTAACATAGATATTGCATCCTCGATATCATGCTCGATAATTATGATTGATGGCAAAAGATATATGTAAGCATGTTCAACAAAATTCACGTCAAAATATCTGAATACGAAAGTTTCTCTCTCTCTCTCTCTCTCTTTCTTTAGAAATTTGTAGATTTTTTGTGAATTCCAATACTGATATCAATATAAAAAAAATTAGAACATGTATTTTTATATAAAAGACGTTTCATCGAAGTAAACACTTGTTACGTTAACTTTCATACACACTTTCATTATCCAAAACGTTAATTTGAGTTCGTCACGTTTTTCCGCTTCGCAATCACGCGCATCTCAAGGAATTTTTATTTTATCTCGCACTTTCTAGCTCGAAATTACATAGAGAAACCGGTTGCGCGTAAGTGTTATTTATCGGTCCCACATTTCGCGTTCCCGTTGCCCAGTTTCTGTATTAATCTGCGACGACGTTTAAATTTATACTTATGCTTCTTTTGCTAGCGCGAGAAAAGGAAATCTATTTTCTTTATATTACTTCAAATATATATTCCGCGCGGAAGTGTTAAAATGTAACAGGAGCAGGTTGGATTATCGCCGTAATATTTCAGCCTCTAATTAAGATGAGCTTTTAATTAAGACCTTGATAATCGCCCGAGCGCGTCATAAATTGTGGGATTATTCTAAACGATTGTTTCCTTGCCTACAGGTGTCCACGGTGTGATCGCGCGAGGCAGCCACAATGGCAGAGGTGGCGACGAAGAAGTCGATCAATGTAGTAAGTAGCAAGAAGAGCGAGGTGTGCGGTGTGCAGTCTAACAACGGTTTGATTGATTTGGATGGTCTAACCGCGAGTAACAACCAACTAATCTCATTGTGCGACGACGACGAAGACGATCTCGTACTCACAAATAACACGCGCAACGAGCTCACCGGCGACGACAAGAGCCTGCAGGAGTTAATCGAGAGCGAGCTGGCGCTGCGAATCTGCTCGAGCAAGAGCGACGAGGATGAGGGCGCCAACGCGGAGGAACCCGAGGAAATCGCCAGCCAGCCGGAGACGATCAAGAGGATCGTCCTGGACCGCCGGCAGGATCCCGTCGACATCAACGCGGAGTTTATAGCGGCCGAGAGCGAGCATTATTCCTTAATCGAGGAGCCCTACGGCCATCGGAACGGCCACACGTCCCCGGACGCCGACGGCGTGAAACCGGAACCGGTGCACTTCCGCGATGAGCAGAAGGAACAGGTGCTCCTCGAGCAGCCGGAAGTCGGCGCAGCGCCGATAATCGTGCAGAAAGCGTGCGACGACGAGCAGGCGTCGACTCACGGCGAGCCTATCAGCGGCGACGACAGCGAACACTATCAAGCGACTATCGTCAAGGACGCCGCGCTTCCCACAGACGAGACGGACTTCAGCAACCCACTCGCGGACGAAACGAGCTCTCGGTCTTTCCCGGCTTCTACGCTTTGTCCCGCGGTCAAGTATCAACATGAGGAGGAACTGATGCAGAAGAACGATGCGGAACAAAAGCACGCGGGCGTCGCCCCGAACGCCGAACAGGCGCCGCTTTCGGCCGGTTTGCAGGCCGCTCAGTTGTCCGACAACTCTAATGAAACGATCTACCGGCCGGAAAAAAATCTCGAGGAGCAGAAATCCCCCAACGAGTCTTCCGCGAATGCCGATAATCTCGATGATTCCGAACACAGTCGTGTCGAGCAGGTTTCAACGCTGCCGGGCGAACTATCTCCCTCTAAAACGATCGGGGAAACAGATCTGAAGCTGCACGAAAAGCTGGAAGAGGATTTTCATGTGCAATCGATTCAAGAGCAACTCGAGATGGAAACAGCCAGCACGCAGGAGTTTCTCGACATAGAACGTCGTGTGTTGAGCGAGGAAACCGATCAGGAGGCGCCTCTGATCGTGGTGTCGTCGGAAGTCGGCGAATTGCAAACGATATCGGAATCGATCTCCGAAAATGAGTCGGCGGAATTCGGCAAGGAGATCGCGGAGGATGCGCAGAACCCGGTGGACGAGTCCTCGAGCGAACTCTCAGCGTCGGACTCGACCTTCATCGAGAAGACCGAGGTCGTAGTGTCGGATACGGGCGTGACGATCTACTCGGAGACGCGACCGGCAGCCGAACAGATCGAGAATCTGGATTCGTGGACCACAGTTGAGGAGGCCACGAGGCCCGCCGACGCCGAGGAGCAACGCGAGGACGCGTCGAAACGCGATGTTAACGAAGCGACGAGAGACGATAACGAGGATAGGCTGGACGATTCGCTCGCGCCCTCGTCACCCCGCGCGCCCCTAGCAACACCAGACGAGACGGAGACGAGCGATGTTTCTAACGCCTGCGATGTAAGTGTGTCTTTTTTCGTGAATTAATTCACGGTGCCCACGCACGACGAAGTGGCTCGAAAGAAAGAGAGAGAGAGAGACTCGAACATTCGAGATCTTGATCGGCGAGAAATCGAATCTTCGCACTCGCAACTATTTTCAACGCGAGATTAAGCAATGATATGCATCGCTGTCATAAAATTTATGACAGTGATATATATTTATTGTAAGTGTAAAACGTGAGAGAAAATTTCTAGTTTACGACACATTTTCTTTCGAGCTACCGTATACAGGTAGGAGTAAAAGTTAATTTTCTGGTTTATTATAATAATTAATTAATGCTTAATTATTGATGTCTGGTTTGCGCTATTTTATCAGTGTCGAGTGACATCGCTGTTATCGTTCTTGAAAACTTTGCTGCCATTTATTATCAGGAGTATGCAAAAGTTTCCATCGTTAAAGCAATTTTCCTTAGCAATATCTTATGAATAATACAATATTTGTAGTCAAAATATTTTCTACCGCTTTATGACATCTTTCGGACAAAAGATGCGATCTATCTACACGAGCGATGGAAAACCTTTCATAACCCTCATATTATAGTTGCTAATCAACTCCGTGATATAATTCCGCCGTTTGAATGGCGAAAGATCGCAACGGCCTGGCTTTATATTTAAATTATACGACTCGCGCGTGTCCATAAATTGATACGAGCGTTTGTGCTTTCGACGTAAAGCTGCGAACACATCTCAGATATTCATATCGCACACGTTGCACAAGAGAAATACAAGTGCCATAACTTAGCTGCGCGTTCAGGTTGCCGGTGTCGGATAAGTCTTGCGAGCACATTGTGGATCCACTCCTCCTAGCAATTTCTGCAAGACTAATTGCGCCATCGCTCTATGTAACTCCTACGCGCTTTTACACGTTAGCGCGATTAATCTCCTTTATTCCTTTTTTTTTTCGGAGCCTCCAGCGCCCCTTCGGAGCGATTCTCGGAATGCCCACGGCATCTGCATAACGCGCGATACTCACATCGATGCGTTAAGTTTAGCAAATTTATGTTCCCATTACGGCTCGCAGCGACGCGTCGCCGCTAAAAGGATAACGCCGACGCGTTAACATCAATCCGTTCGATTAATTCTCCGACTCTTCGACGCAGGCCTTTGAAATGATCAGAGACACGAAAAAGATGTCTAAATAACAGTTAATCGCCGATAGTTAATATTCCTCTTCCTCACGATCGTACGTCCACTTAGATTTCTGCGCAATTGCAGCTTCGACGTAGTCCGACGTGCCTTTCGCTACAACTCATTACTTCGCAAAAACCCAAACCGCATTATCCCGTCTACATCTCCTCGATACCCTCGAAGGTACACCCTCCCACGATCAGCGGCGCGTGACGATCGCTCACGCCACAAATCTCATGCAAATGCAAGACCTGCAGTCGCAACGGAAGCCGGCTTATCGCCACGAATTTCGTATCAGTCCGCGAACCGTCACTTATCACGCGGCGGTTCAACGACACTTGTTCTTGCGAAAGAGTCCTCGACAGTTAATCCTTAATTAGTAGCGTCTAATTTCTTAAACTCTTGTACGATTCATATTCCGGATATACCGCTAACAACAAGCTTGATAATTACATTCGGAAGTTTCCTGCAGTCTATATTTGTAATGCAAATTTTTGCAAAGAGATGGTAACAGCCAGAATTTTGGCGGTAATTAATTAATTGCGTGTACGTAAACGGGAAAAAGAATTTAAAGGGGGGAATAAGCGAGATATATGTATATTCAAATTGCGTTTCTCGCAAATTTGGAGAAATAAAAAATTAACTTCTACAACGCAAATATTAATGATAAAATTCCAATGAACTATTTTTGGTATCGTGTGCTTTTATTTACAGACAAATTTAATTAAAATTTTAGTTCAATTTCCAAAAAATAATCTCATTGGAATGAAATTTTGGTGACTTCTTGATCTTAAATTTTGAGAAAAGAGAGGAACGATGTTTCGCGTTGAAAATATGAAAAAATGAGCCGATGCAAGGCCGCGTGTTTGTCACCGTCTAGACGGATGTTACTAGTTAAGGGCCGACCAAGATTGAGGTCGCGTCAAAGTCGATGCTACGCGCATCCTCGCGAAGCAACGGCCGCTTCTCCTCGGCCGCTCGCTCGCTCCTGGGACTCCCCTACCTCGAGCACGGTGGTTCTGCTGGCCGAGCAGCGAGTACCGCGAGCTCTTACCTGGCCAACCGGCTACACGTGCCCGGTGGAAGTGGCCAATCGGTGACGGCCGGGAAGCGCACGCTGCGTGCCACGCTTTGGAGAGCATCGAGTTTCCTGAACCCGTTACGAAACGCGCGCTCTCCTCGGGAGAGCCGACTTCTCGGTCTCTCAGACATCACCGAAGCACCACGCAGCGCGGTGTTCACGTCCGAGGATGATCATCGATCAGGTACGAAACTGCGGATCGCGGCGATCGATTTGACCTATCTGTAGGTCGCGGATTGATCTCACGGGGGAGGTGCGCACACCAGACGACACGGTCGTTGAGCAAGAACATTTGCCTTTTTTTCCACCAGGGTCTCCTTGCAGTCCTCTTCCTTTTCTTTCTCTTCATTTCTCTCTTCTTCTTTCTTTCTCTCTCTCTCTTTCTTTCTACTTTTCTCCCACTCTCCACTCGGCCGCCGACCGTCTCGCTCGCGCTGGAAACCCAACTCTTTCCTTCTCCTTCTGTCCTTCGTTGGCTTTCGTCGACCTCGTTGCCAAGGTGGACGCGCGTCCGTCATTGTGAGTGCGTGGCCGGTGTCGGTGCTAGAAGCTGCTCGGGCTTAGCGTCGGTAGACAAGAGTCCGTGGATTGTGATATAAATTGTGAACCAGTGGTGATGTGATCGGTAGTGAGGGATCGATATTGCTTTCGCGAGAAAATTCTCGGTGAGTACCATGGAGAACGTCGGCAGCGACTACCATCCGGTTTCCCCAGAGGGTAATTGAAGTAAGCGCAAGCTTACAGCTTTGCATTGCAATTGCGATAGAGAATACGTAAGCTCTGTGAAATATCACGAGTGGCCGCAGAGAGATCGTTACGAGTTCCGATTGTTCGAAAGAACGCTCGAGAGCGTTGGGCATTGCGCCAGTTATTCTCGAATAGCAATTTTGTAAAACATATTTTATATAAGATTCTCACGAAAGCATTTAAAATTTTTATGCAATGAGAAAGAGAGAGAGAGAGAGAGATATTTGAAATATTGAACGTAGCATCGCGGAAAAATTCGCGCCGAGTTGTCGAAATTATGCTCGATATTTTTGCAACAGAAAATTTCCAAAAATCCATCTTTAAAACATTGTTCGAATTAATAGAAGAACTGAAATCAATCATTCAGCTTCTCTGTGCCTTATCAATTTATCGCTTGATTTTAAATGGCAACAAGAAATTCGCGTGCATATTCTCCGCCGAGATGTGCGCCGTGATGCAGGACATGCTTGATTGGTGACCGAACGAAAGTAAATAAATATCCGCCAGGACAACGGAGTCATATCGTGCCGATTTCCCAACGCTAAGTAATTAATAGTCGAACGTCACACAGTCGAGATTACACCGGCGTGCATTATGTCACGCTCTGCGCCACGTTCGCATAGCTCATGCGTTCCGGAATATTGCTTTCCGCGCGCGCGAGCTTATCGGAAATCTTCCTTGTCGGCCAGTCATACTTGTCGAGCAATTACGCCGCCGCGCATAAATCGTCGAGAAAAGGAAGGGGGGGGGGTATAAAAGCTCGGCACTGTTATCAGTTGTCTCTGTGATACTCGAAGCAACTCGTTTTTACATTTGAAAGCGAGGTGACCAAAGCTACGACGAAAAGAAAAGCGAAATGCTTCCTATCTTTTCAATTTATAATTTTAATATTCAACAATTTTAACTTACAATTCTCCTTTTTATTCGACCCGAATCTCGCGGTGCTACCGATGATTATTCCGTTACCTGGGCGCGTTATCGTGAGCATGTGTTAGATTATTACCAGCCGGACGATTATGACTCGAACCGAGAATCACGTAGGCGGGCGACGCTTTAATTGCAACATGCGATATCAAACTAGTTCTGCCGGCGGGTGAAACCGTACGATTAAACAAATATTCCGGCTCAAATCTTGCCTTTCTAACGGACGGATGATCGCGTTATGCACGCTCACGTACGTCTCGGGTGTCGAACATACATCGCGCACTGAGAACATGAGCCTGATTATCAGAAGGAAACTTACAACGGGATATTTGAGAGTATCGGAACGAATTTTATCTGTCGACATAAAGAAAGCGCTCAATCCGAAAGTGCGCTTCTAATATTATCGCGAGTATTTTTATTCACAATTTAAATATTGTCTTATTAATTAATATTGCGAAATATAGAATTATTTTTAATAAGTAATCGAATGATATTAAGCCTAAATTGGCCGATAAACTTAAAATTAAAGTTCTTAATATTGAAATATCTATATGGAAATAAAGGAAATGCCTTAAACAATTTCCTTAAAAAAAAACCACATGTGCCGACTGCTTCATTAGCAAAAACCGTGCGATTTAATTTATTACCTCTTTAACACGCTTTCTAGCACAACATTTTCTGCACATTTAGTCCGCAATTTAATCGTTTTACGAACGAAAAATAGACTTTTCGCGAAAATCACTGCGCGCTAAACGAAGATTTATTTTTCCGCAGAAAAGAATCGACTAAACACATGGAAAGACAACGCAAACGGTGTGCTAATGTAATATTTTTTTACTTGTGTCAGAAAGAAAAACTGCCTTACAATACCGTGAAATCGATATTACTGCTTGCAAATCACGTTCGTTAGGCGAAACTGAACGTAAACTTCCGTGTCCAACCGCAAGACCGCATTTCACCCACCTCGACGCGCGCAATAAAATCCATTGAATCCCAGTGGCACAATAGCAGTGCGCTAAATCTAGTTCCTCCGCGCCTTTCCGGGAGGCCGCGTGCCACCTACGGTAAGTCACGAAAGAAGCATACGCCATTTCCGACGGAAGAAATCACCGTAATTTCCGCCTTAATTATTCGAGATGCGGAAAAAAATTCCCACGCTAACGCCGTAAAAATCACCTGAGATGTTCCACATGTAACACACGTGTGTTTTCTTTTTTTTCTCCTCGCAGAGCGAAAGCCGCGAGGAAACGGTGACCACCAGCTCCAATGTGGTGACCTCCTCGAAGGGCGGGACCAAAACGAAGAAGAAGAAGATCGAGGGCGTCGCTGGTAACGATGCCTCCTCGCCGAACCTTACGCCGCGCACAAAGAAAACCAAGAAGAGCAAGAAGAGCGATCTCGAGAAGGAGAACATCTCCGTGGTGAGTTATAAATCGTTTTGATAGACGTCCGCGCGCACGCGCGCGTGTAATATGTGTGCGGGATGTCCCGCAGCCATCCTTTCACCTACACGGATTCTCTAATCGCCGTGACGTCGATCCGGCCAGAACGAAAATCCGAACGGACGCCAGATCGAAGTGCCGTTGAGTCGTACGCTATAAAGTTAATCGACGAATCGAAACCGCGCGTTGCCGGATGAAGCTCAACTCGTCCATGTTCCGTCGTTTGTTATCGCTATATCGATATTGTCGTTCGAAACAATTCCGAATCGGTCGGTGGATCGATGAACGAGCAGAATCGTTCTGGGACATCCTGTACGCGTCGCATATCGTATTTGTTAGTTTATTATGGTCGCGTTAATCATCGACATCGGAACTTTCGTATATGTATATGTCAGCGCGATTTTTTATCCGATAATCGTCGGTTATCGGCGTCTGCTATCGGGGTAGCATAATTGAGGGCGGTCCTCCGTGATGCGCGGGTATGAAATCACCGAGCGCGGAACCGTTATCACATTAATTATCGCTTTGCTCGGTTACTCGCCCGCCGG